CACTGCAAAAAATTAGCCAGGCATGGTGGCATGTACCTGTGGTCCCAGCTACTCAGGAGGCTGAGGCAGGAGGATCACTTAAGTTCAGGAGAGGGTGGCTTCCACTGAACTTCTTAATGATACAAGTTCCTTCTCAGCAGCACTTTCTTGAGGACCATGTTAAATGATGTATCCTCTTTGAATTCCAGAGAAACATGTTCCTATGGTTGATTATTGAGACTTATAATATGTCTCCTCCAACATACAAATGTTCTTTTGCCTTTAATCCTATCCTCTTCCAACTGACACAGGAATTTAGCCACTTCAAGGGTATTCAGCATAAATCATTGACTTCTTTGAGGCCTATTGGAGGCACCAATGAGCAAATGTGCCCCATCCTGTGATGTCTTTGTCAGGGTGTATATCAGGTGAACAGGTAGCCAAGCCAGTAAACTCTTTTTTTTTTTTCTTTTTCCATTTTGTGTTCTGATTCCCTTCATTAAGTATCCTCAAAATCCAGTCCTAACGGGACTCCCACTAGCCCTGCAAGTCCATACTGGATCATTCCCCCAGCCATTTTGGAGAATACTATCTCATTCCCATTGAGATCCAGTGTCTTCCTGGCTGGGTTTCCCTGAGATTAAGGAAGCTGGGAGAGATCTATCTGGACAGACCCTGAGGATATTCCCTAATGTGGGTGTCTCTGCACTGTCTTCTTCCACAGGGATTCTAGGTTTGATAGGAAGGGTGGGCCGTCTCTGTTGCCTTTATGGGTCCAGAGAAATCGTGGCAACCAACATTTTCAGGGGCATCCACGCAGACGTCAGGATCATCAGGCTCCCATGTTGTCCCATAATTGAACTGCTTCCACTGGACAGTCAATTATCTTTAACATTTGAAACTCTATTAAATCTGGAGTTTTATTTACAGATTTTTCTGCTCCCCCAGTGCACAGAAAATGCCCTTTAATATTATTTTTTATTTAGGTATGCATACTATACAAAAAGTTGCACATATTTAAAATGTACAATTTAATAAGTTTGACATATGTATACACCTATGAAACTATCAGTAAAATTGAGCCTGTGCACACATCCATTGCTCCGGAAAATCTTCTCATCCCTCCCTCTTACCCTTCTTGTCCTACCCTGTTTTCAGGTAACTATGTATCAACACTGGCCTTTGCTAGATGATTATTTTGCTGAATGAATTATGTAAGCCAGATTTTGGTTGTGTTGAGGTAGGGAATCCTATCTTATTTTGAAAATTAGGCTCTAGGCCTTTGGATCACTATGAGGAGTGGGACCTCCCTAAAGGTTGGGTGCAAGATAAGTACCACCCCCATAGTGATAAGTATCACTCCCCACGGAAAGTACCAAGTGAGAAGAGAGCCCTTCTAGGTCATTACTAAGGAACTGAGGCAGGAAAGAAGGGAGTTCCAGGATCACCATCACTATGGCCCATCATAACCCTGCCTTGCCTGGTGATTTCCAGAATTAGATCATCCTTTCTTTTTAAAGAAATCCCTTTCTAATATTGGAGCAAAAGGACATTCTTCTAGCTGGGTGCAGTGTCAAGTGCCTGTAGTCCCATTTACTCAGGAGGCTTAGATGGGAGGATCACTTGAGCCCAGAAATTTGAATTCACCTTGGGCAACATAGAAAGACCCCATCTCTTAAAGAAAAAATACAAGAATATCCTTTTAATATTCGATTTAAAAAATGATCAATTTGCCTTTAACATTGAATGTAATGCAATTGAAATTAATATTTGTGGTTAATATTAAATAAATATCAGAGCATATTTACTTAGAAAGACTTCATTTTGACATGTACTTGCAATGTTTGCCTATTCAGCCATAAATCAGCATCTACACATTGGGGGAATCTAAGCCTTGCCCTTTGATTTCTGTGGTCTTTCTTATTGCTATACCAATAGACCTTGGCTTAACTGATGCATTGTCCTGAAATCTGCCACTGATATGCCAAAATACATATTTGATATTTTGTCCCATAAAAACACTGCTCTAACACTGCTGACATTCACATTAAGTAGAAAATATATATGTATAGAGCAGTCCCTTGGAATTTCCTCCTCATGTAACGGTATTACCGAGATTTTAAAAATCCAAAAATAACAGAAGTGTGTCTCTGATTGCAATGTTTTTATGACTAATAATCTGAAAGGTAAGTTGAACTCATTAATTTCTTTTTTTTTTTTTGGTTTAAAATATTTTATTGGAGTCTTTCAGATAAAACCAGATTGTTGCACAAGATAAAGCAAATGCAAGTGAAAGCTATCTACTTGACAGGTAAGTGCCCCCAAATTCCTAAGGAATTTTTTTCTCCAATAAGATTATAGCTGTTCACACAGGATCTGCTCAGCACCAACTAGAGGACATCCTTTGTATCAGCAAATCCACAGCGAACAGGGGGAAAGGGCGTGGCTCTCCACTGGGTACAGCCTGCAGGTCAGGCATTAGGAACCATCGTCTGGGCATCACAGCCTTCCCAACAGCAAGTCCCCAAAGGAGTAGGCTCCAAACGTTAGGTCTTTGGCCAACAGATTAGTGTAGAATCTGTGAATGGGCACTGCCCCGGCTGGGCGTGCAGACTCTCATTCTTTATTCAAGGACAACACGCCCATGGACGTCTTAAAACTCCATTACAGTGCTGCGAGGATCGGAAGCTTGGGAAGAAACCAATGGGTCAGCAGAGGTCCGAGCGACTCCAGCTGAGTTCCCCGACCTGACCTGACCTAGGTCAGTTCCAAGCAGTGGCGGCAGGCAGACACATGAAGACTTACTCTGCAACGGTGTTCTACAGATAAGCGAGGCCTGGCAGTCCCTCCTCCAGCCCGGCTCGGAAGTGAGGCACGACTTGCTGTTCGCAAAGCGCCGCGGGACCAGGCGCGCCTGCAGCTCCAGCGGCTCGGCTCGAAGCCGACCCGGGCTCGGCAGCGGCTCGGCCAGCGGGCCACGCTCGGCAGCGGGCTCGGCGCGGCGGCAAGCGGCTCGGCGCGGGCTCGCAGCGGCTCGGGCAGCGGGCCTCGGGCAGGGCTCGCAGCGGCTCGGCAGCGGGCTCGGCAGCGGGCTCGGCAGCGGGCTCGGCAGGAAGACACCCGCAACCTCACGCTGCCCGCGGCCAGCTAGCCGGCCGCGCTGAGAGCGAACGAGCGAGCGGCGCGTGGAGAGCTGAACTCATTAATTTCTTACATCTAGATTTTTTTTTTCAGTCTATTGTCTGTGTTTTCTAAACTGAAGAAAAGATTTTTCCTCTAGTGTGGTAAGTAAATGACTCAAAAATTAAAACAATGTAAGCATGTTGATGAAAATAATCTATTATTCAAAATGATTGACTTAACATTCTATTTAGGATCCTAAACATTCTACTGAAGACCTTAACTTTGCTATTATGCTTTTTTTTCCACTAAGAAATACATAAGCACTATTACTGAATCAAATGGAATCTAGTGATACTTTGCTTCTCAGCTGTAAGAAATACATTGAGGCTTTGCAGGTGTAAATCGGCTTGTATCAGTGTTTCTCAAACTTTAGCATTCATCAAAATCTCCTGAAAGATTTGTAAAACCTCAGATTGTAGTCCCTATGCACATACATTTTGGTTCATTAGGTATTGGCTGTGGCTGAATAATTTACATTTATAACAAGTTCCACGTGATACTGATGCTGCAGGAACTGGAAGCAAATTTTGAGAACCCCTAGCCTCATTTATTTATTCCAGATTGTCCTTAACATTTCCTATCCAGTTGGTTTACCTTGTATGCCATAGACTGTTCCATGTTTCACAACATTTATTTTTATTTTTTTAAATTTTTTCCTTTCTTTCATTTACTCTTTTTTCTTTTTTTATTCTATGACCAGAAAACTCTTAGTATTTATTCTTATTACTATTCTCCATTACTAGTGAGAAATCTTTGAAACCATATAGTTTTGGGAAATAAATTTCTTTCTCTTAGTAATATAATACATGCTGACAGATACACTCTTTCCATACCTGAAAGAAAAAAATAATTAAGTAAATTTAAAAAAAATTAAAATTAAAATAATATTTAAAAATATAAAAATAGAAAAAGTAATATAATACAGGAAGATACTTCATTTTCTGTGACACCACAGTGGAGATTATGGAGCAATCCACTGAAAATGAAAATTATTGAAAAGACAGTTGTTACAACATTATGTTTTCCATTCCAATATCGTTACATGTTCATTATGTCCTAGACACTGTGTGACCTGCTGAAAACATAGCCTGACTAAGAGGCACTTCCTATATCTTTTGCAACTTATACTACTCTAAGAGAACCAGCCATACTGAAATCATATATAGTCGTGAACCACATATATGATGGTGGTTCCTTAAGATTATAGTACTGGATTTTACTGTACCTTTTCTTTGTTTATGTTTAGTTACACAAATACTTGCCATAGTGTTATAACTGAATGTTATTAAGTACAGTGACAAGGTTTACAATTTTGTAGCCCAGGATTAATACATAATACCACATAGCCTAGGTGTAGTAGGCTATGCATTCTAGGTTTGTGTAAGCACACTCTGTGCTATTTGTGGAAAAAATGAAACTGCCTAATGATGCATTTGCTAGAACTTATTCCTGTCATTAAAGGACACATGGCTGTAAAGAATGTCTACTCTGGGCCGGGCGTGGTGGCTCACGCCTGTAATCCTAGCACTTTGGGAGGCCGAGGCAGGCGGATTGCTCAAGGTCAGGAGTTCGAAACCAGCCTGAGCGAGACCCCGTCTCAACCAAAAATAGAAATAAATTAATTGACCAACTAAAAATATATATACAAAAAAATTAGCCGGGCATGGTGGCGCATGCTGTAGTCCCAGCTACTTGGGAGGCTGAGGCAGTAGGATCGCTGAGCCCCAGAGATTGAGGTTGCTGTGAGGCAGGCTGACACCACGGCACTCACTCTAGCCTAGGCAACAAAGTGAGACTCTGTCTCAAAAAAAAAAAATTAAAAAAAATGTCTACTCTGTTCCTAAGACTGAGTGGAAAATTCCATGTAAAATAGATTTTTTTCATCCTAACGGTGAATGGATGTGTAGCATTTACTAGATCAACAAGACGGACATCTCAGACATGTGCATTGTGACAAACAAGGTATGTCTGTCCATCATGTTCACACTCTGTGTTCTTCCATTAGACCTTTAATTTGGTATTGATATTTTCAGAACTCCACCCAATGGATTCACAAAGCAAGGAAAAAAAAATCACAATATGTATTTTAGATAATGGGCCACAAGAGATGATTTCAACTTAAAGAAAATGGACCACAAATGTTTTGCATTGCCCTTTTAATAACAGTAAAATGAAGTTATGTTAAAGTAGACAAAACAGAAGACAGTCAAGCATGATTGATTTGTTTCAACTGAGAAGGGCTCCCCAGCACATGGAGTAGTTCCCACACCTGCAGTCTGGTTCCTGACTCACCCCTGCTCATCTGTGGCCAGTGAGAAAGAAAGGCCTGACAGGGAAAGAGAAGGAGGTAGCAGGGTACTTCCATATAAGTGAACTCCTGCCAACATTCAAAAAACTCACACTTCCACTCTCACAATTGATAAACACACCAATGCGGCCCAGAGGTTTCTCCACATAGTGAGGAACCATCGGGGAGGTGGTGAAGAGAGTGCAGCGATTATCCTCCTTCACAGATAAAAGAAGAAATACGTCCTTAGATTCCAACAGTGTGCCCTTGTTCCCTATGAAGGAATCCTTGCAGACCCCTAGAGCCCAGTCCATAGAGTGGTCCACATCCAGCTCCCAGTAATGTTTCCCAGCGCTGAAGGCCTGGACTCCCCTCATAGCAAAGCAGTTAGACTCGCCAGTATTCACAGATGCATCTGGATGGTCAGGTCTAAGTATCAAGCTTCTCACATCATCAAACAGCCTGATATTGGGATTGGTTGTGTCATTATGGAAGGAGATCTCCCACTGTGGAAAGAAGAGAACATTCTAGTAAAAATCAGTTTTTCAGTTAAATATAGGAGATGTAGAGTCTCGCTGGAAAAAAACATGTCAAATTTCTATAAAAATCTCTGGTGGGAAAAGTACTGGATTCAAAGGCTTCCAGAATATTTGCAGAAGGAAATACCTACCCCAAGTAAAACAATTCCTAAAAATTTAGGCATTATAAATGGGAAGGAGGTGATGCCTCCTTTGGCTGACAGCTTTTCCTAACGCATGAGAAACTGGAAGCCTGTGCATGCAGACAAGTCCACAACACTACAAGTTGCCTCCACTGCTCTTTCTCTTTTGGGGCAGAGAAGTAGGGGAAGAGAGCATTTCTTAGCTCTAAACAGGAGGGTACCACCTTGCCAGAGATATTGTACTCTGCCAGTTTAGCCAGGAAGTTGATATTAAGATGAAGAGAAAATCTGAATATATGGTACTGGAAGTGATTTCCTTCTAAGCATTATGTGGCTTTTATGCCTGACTCAGGCCTACTCATCTTTTTCCTGCAAGACTAACTGTGGTCTGTCACGGAGCTCTATATTAAGCTTCATCAACCACCCAGTCACTTTATTGTTGTTCATCAGTTCTCAGTTTTTACCTTTAGTTATAGAAAATCATTTAGTTCTTTTTCATTACATCAATTAAAGCGTACATTACCACAAATTCAATTACTATGAAACTTTAACTGAAATACATTTAAAATTAAAAGACTAGCCATTCTACCACAATCATTAACTGCACTTAATTTGACAGTGGAATGCCCTGAGTTAATAATCAGTTCTGTATAACTCATTTAACTCTCATTGTATCAGAGAATGGTTCTATGTTCCACAGGAGTTTTTGTTTTGTGCGTTTTCTGTTTTCTATGTAATTTATTACTAGGCTGAATCACCTTATCTTTCACCAGCTTTCATTTAGTTGTGCCCATATGATGATGGTACAACTGTGACTATAAATGCCTCATCACAGGCTGTTCTCTTCTCAATGAAAGGTCATTGCAGAGGGCAAGCTGGCCCACAGGAAACCATCATTGAAGACACTGCATGGTGGTCCCACCCATGGGCTGACACTCACCTCGGAAGCAGTTGAGTCTGTCCAGCAGTCCGGTGATGGGCACTGCACTGAGCTCTGGGTTCACAGGCTGGGGCATGTGCTTGTGCACAGACTCACTCCTGCAAGGAGGCAATTAGTTCATCAGTTAGTTCATCTGTCTGGTGTCCGTGTTTAAATAATTTCCAACTTAGACTGCGTCATCAAATCCCTTTTCTGACATTGCAGTGTACACGATCCTGGAATGGATTGTGGCTTTTTTAGAAAATCATTCTTAGTCTTCATCAATTTCCACAAAAAAAATTGCCCCCCAAAATTACTTGCTTCTTTCTGCTACTGTCTGTAACTATGTTGTTTATTTATCTCTGTATGTTTGTGACTCTGAATCCTAAAAACACAGGCCACTGTATTCTAGTAACATCTCCACTCAGCCCTTCAACACATGACCCTGTGACACATAGGAAGGCTGAGGGACATTAACTTGTGGTACAATGGTGTAGAGAAAATATTAAACATAGGACAATTTGACTTAATTTGTTAGTTATGTTTTCACTTTGTGAGAAAACACGAGATTTATGTAATAATCGCCCCCCCCCAGTGGCCCTGCTCATATTAAAGGTGAAACATACCTTGCCAGTATATCTCCGAAATCCTATAAAGAAAAAAGAAAGTAGTTTAGCCATCTTCACATGTTAGTTATTCTTCCCATCCAGGCTTTGGATAAGGGAAAGTTCAGAAAGTACCAAAACTATCACCCCAACCCTCCTTATATTAATAAATGCACCTTTGTCTTCATAGGAATGATCCCAGTAAAACAGATACAGAATCTAAATTCTTGACAGACTCAGAAGCCTGCCTTGGAATGAAGAGGAAGACGTGGGCAGTGACTGCATTGCTGCAAACCACCCGCCTCTGCAAGTGTCTTTCCCAGGGCTTGTCCCCAAAGGGCTGCCTGCCTCAAATTAAGCACATTGCAAACTGGGGACTTCCACACAGGAGGAGAAAGAAAATGTTAGCTTTGCCCAAAATTCTACTCATTTTCCAATGGAGACAAAATTGAATTTCCCTGAGTAATTTGTTTGTCCAAAGAAACAGTGGAGGGCAAAGATGGAAATGTCAGTTAATAGAAAGTGTTTCACGGCACATCATCACTTACTACCTGGAGCAGCTCCACGTCTGGTTTCTGGCACATTTCCATCAGTGTGCTGTACATTTCTTTTAGTTGTTTCCTCTTTTCATCCATTTTGGCCTCACTTGTATTAAGTTGCTGAAAAATCTCTCGGTTTTCCTTTGTCAGTCTCTCTATATGTTGTCTTTCTTCCTCTTGGAGAGCTGGAGGCAGCTTCCTGTACTCATCCCGGATCATCTTTTCCCATAGATGCACATAGCCCTGCAGGACAGGGATTTCTGATCACACACACAGGCCAGCTTCATCCTCCTCCACTTAAACTCCATCAGTTTCTCTCTGAATCATGTTCTCTACTAATCAGCTACATGCACCCTAATTCACATCCTCCCAGTTCTTAGAATACACACATTCATCCTGCTCCTTCTTTCAATTGTTGTCTATTCTTTATTAAAAATATGAAGAGGGCTGGGCGAGGTGGCTCACGCCTATAATCCTAGCACTCTGGGAGGCTGAAGTGGGTGGATCTTTTGAGCCCAGGTGTTCGAGACCAGCCTGAGCAAGAGCGAGACCCCGTCTCTACTAAAAATAGAAAAAAATTAATTGGCCAACTAAAAATAGAAAAAAAAACAAAGAAATAAAAAAATTAAAAAATATGAAGAGGTAAACCAGACCTTCCCTCAACATTCATCGAATTCAGAAATTCCTCAAAAACTGATGCCTTTCGGGTTTAAAGTATTTTATATATATCCTCACAAATCTGAACTACCACGTGAAAGCAATTGAAATTTCTGATTGATTGGTAAATCATTATATCTAATATAATATCTGATCTTTGTTACTCATCAGTCTCTAGTCTCAAACCTCCTAAATTCAAAGCCTCAATAATCAGCCTTAGCAGAAAAGCTGCCCATGCATTATATTCAGGATAAAAAGCTGCCACACAAAGGGTAACTTAGTAAAATGTTTAGCCAAACCCTCACACTGACTTCTGTCCTGCTTTCTTTCTTCCTGCTATCTAAGGTCACAAGTACTGTAATGCCCTGACATTCTGAGAACATTAATCCTCATGCCATTGTGTCAATCTTCCCAATATTTATCTATTCATTCTCACTCCCCCCAGTCTCTTTCCCCCCACTTTTCCACAGCTTTTCAGCATGTTCAATTTTCTCCCACTTGAAGCTGCACCATCACGTGGCCCCTGTGCTGTCAGAGATCAGCGTCACAGCCACACTTCTTCAGTGACTCTTCACACCCACTCCTTCCCTCTGCCCATCATTGCGTTCAGCGTTATGAAACCCCTTCAGTCCCAACTGTATACCCTTTGATTTGTAGAATTCACCTCATACAGAAATATCTGCCTGAAATAACCATGGATTGTAAACACTTCTTCTTTAGCATTCAGATGATTTTAAATTTATCTGCAGAAACATTTCCTGAACACCTGAATGATTATTTTAAAAAATTCGAACTGTTTTTCCTATGAATAAACATATCAGAGTCTTGTGTCATATGAAAATTTCAATTCCAGTTATTAATGGATGTCTTCTATCATGTTGCTCTAAAACTGGTTGTCAGGAAGCAATGTCCTCATACTCACCCCCCACAAGAGGATTGTTCTCCTCTCCTCATGTAGATTTCTATGATTTTCTTGCATCCTTTTCCATAAAGAGCTCATTTGCTTTAAGATCTTCTCCTGCAAAGGAACAATACATTTGAGCAGCAGAGAAGGAAATACCATAGATTTCAGTCCCTGACCGGTATAGAGATGCAAGGGATATTAGATATAAGTCCACTAGGGAGGGTGGGAGAATCAAATGTTTTCCTGCTTGTCCTTGATAATAGTTAGCAATTCTGAGAGATTTCATAGTAGGAAATTAACAAAAGAAGATTTCATGTAATGTGGGTCATTTTCAGTCAAGCACACTGCTTCAGGACCTGCCTCTACTGATGCCAGTGCCCGCTGTTGTAGTGCACTGTTTTTCTATTTATTTGTCCAGTATTTAAGATCCTCATCTTCCTTCCAGTCTCTTAACACTACGACCTTCTGTTTTTCTTTTGTTTTGTTTTCATTTCAGGGTATTATGAGGGTACAAACATTTTGGTTACATTTTATGTCTTTGCCTCACCCAAGTGAGGGTTAGAAGCATGCCCTTCCCCTCTACAATGCTCACTGTGTCCTGTTGTTGTGACTTTACCCCCATCCCACTAATCCCTGGAGAATATTTCTACCATGTGAGCACCATAGTGTTAATCAGTTAGTGCCAACTTGATTGGGAATACAAGTGGAGCCTATTCTTCCGATCTTGTGATATCTCACTTCAGATAATGGGCTCAAGTTCAATCCAGGATAATATAAGAGGTGCCAGATCACTGTCTACCTTCACGTTCTTTTTCTGAAGTGCTCTCAGAGGTGTCACTTACCAGGTGGTCCTCAGCTGCCACTTCAATGGGACAGTGTCTGTGAGCTCTATGGTCCTGGGAGTTAGAGCAGAGCAAACACAGCAGGCTCTTGTCCACGTCACAGAACATCTTCTTCTTCTCCCTGTGGGTACCACACATCTGTTCCTCAGAGCTCAGGATTTGCAAGAGGCGGGCCTTTCTGGCAATGGACACTAGATTCTTCAGAGTAATATTGGTTTTGAAGTCTTTCTGTTGTGATGGTTTCCTACACTCTGGGCAAGAGGCATGAGTGTGGGCTTCTTCCCAGGAAAGGCAGAGGCAGGGCCTGCAAAAGCTGTGTCCACAGCCTATGGTAACTGGGTCTATAAGGCAATTGAGGCAGATGGCACACATGAGTTCTCTCTGGAAGACTTCTGTGATGTGTGAGTCTGAGTCCATTTTTCTGAGTGAAGAAAACATAGGAATTTAATCTACCTTTTTGGAGAGACAAATATCTAAATAATGTTAGAATGAGGCTGTGACTCAACAGTATTCTTCAATTTAGGGCAGAATAGGATTTAGTTTGCAGATGAAAACAGAGGAATTTAATCTTCTACCTATTTGGAGAGACAAATAAATATCTAAGTAAATTTGGAATGAGGCTGTGACTCATCAGTATTCTTCAATTTAGAGCAGAATAGGCTTTAGTTTGCAGATGAAAGTAATAGAAAACTAAGACAAAAAGTAAGATCACACTCTAGATAAATATGTTGGTGTCTCAACAACACACATCCACCTCCCCAAACCCCTTTTTCCTGTATAAAAGAACTTCAGATATTCTGAGATGTCAGTGTCTTCCAAATTGCTTGGGCTTCAACGATTTAGCCAACCTTGAGATCCAAAGGGTGAGTCCTGACTGGTCTGGAAATCAATCACACTGTGACTTGCCAGGGAGTGGGTTAGGGAAGGGCAGCTAATGAAGCTTATCTACTTTCATTTTTTTTTTTTTAATTATTGCAATCATCCAATCATGACTTTTCCAAAAGCATTCTTTGTGTCAGTTTTGGAGCAGAACTACTCATACCTCTGACCAAAATTAAAATGAGTTTGCTTTCCATCTCTAAAATAGCACTGGCAAATCAACCAACTATTGTTATTTAAGCAGCTATGCTAATTCAATCAACAAGCATCTTCTAATATGTTTGCTACTCCAGGAATATTTTGTCCATTTGAGATATAGCGGTTAATACAACATCTTTATGAGAGAGATAAAAGTTAAAAAAAAAAATGCAGTTGATAAAATGCAGTGTCCAAAAGCCCATTATCTGTATATCTTCTCTCTGTCATAGATGATCCAGAAAATGTTTTTATTGTAACCATTGATAAAAATGCATGAAAAATGTGCATATGCAAGAGTTAGTCACAAAACCAACCTTCCCCCCTCGATATTCTTTGTTATCTCAATCAAACCATCACTCAGAATCAATTTGTAAATACAAAAGTGTAAATAGATTCCATCCAAGTTGTTACAAAAAAAAAAAAAGTGTAAATAGAATTAAAGTTTGTAGGCCGGGCGTGGTGGCTCACACTCTAATCCTAGCACTCTGGGAGGCCGAGGTGGTCGGATCCCTCAAGGTCAGGAGTTCAAAACCAGTCTGAGCAAGAGTGAGATCCTATCTCTACTAAAAAAATAAAAAGAATTAAAGTTTGTAAAACTAGATCAAATTTCAAATAGAATCTTTCTTTGGAAATATTCAGTTGACTGTTGAACCACAGGGCATAGAACAGCCGTGTTCCACTTACACATGGGTTTTTTCAACCAAACACAGATCCAAGATACTGTATTCATGGTAGAAGAAACCCTTGTGTATGGAGGGCCAACTTTTCATGTACTCAGGTTCTGCCCTGAGAACAGTGTGGGGCCAAGGACAAGGGTACCCGGAAGGAATCATTAGCCTATACCAAGGGACAACTGTATAAAGCTTTTACATTTGCTCTCCTATGCTTTTTATCCACACTCCTGAATTAAAAAAGAAAAAGCAAAAAATTTAAGGAGAAGAGGATATAGCATTATTTTCTTTTCTTTTCTTACTTTTTTTATTTTTTTTTTTGAAACAGAGTCTTGCTTTGTTGCCCAGGCTAGAGTGAGTGCCATGGCATCAACCTAGCTAGCAGCAACCTCAATCTCCTGGGCTCAGGTGATCCTCCTGCCTCAGCTACTCCTGCCCGAGTAGCTGGGTCTACAGGCATGTGCCACCATGCCCAGCTAATTTTTTCTATATATATTAGTTGGCCAATTAATTTCTTTATATTTATAGCAGAGACGGGGTCTCGCTCTTGCTCACGCTGGTTTACGAACTCCTGACCTCGAGCAATCCACATGCCTCAGCCTTCCAGAGTGCTAGGATTACAGGCGTGAGCCACCACACCTGGCCAGCATTATTTTCTATTGCCTTTGAATCTATTTTCAAAAATTGACTTCTTATATTTTTTTTACTGTGTATACATTATTACTTGTATAGTAGAATGTAATACATTTATGCCACTAAAATAAAATATCCCAAGCCCATTTGTAGAATCTACCCTAAATAAAAAATTACAGAACATTTTTTATAGAAACTACTTTTTGAGTATTTATATGTAAACAAAGAATATATATTTTGAATACGTTAAAAGAAATGGATCCTTTCATCAAAAGACTCTCAGTTTGCAGATACATTAAAGTTCACAAAATTGGGTATTTTTTCGGGATGGGGAGCTTGGAAGAAACAGGAAGTTCTCTTCTATAAACAGTGTACTCACCAAAAAATTATCTCAAGGGTCTCACCAGTGTTTCCTGTAGAAGTAATAATATGAAGTCAGTTCAGGACCAGGACCTCAAAGTGTGGTGGCCTTAGGTTTCCGAGTCTTCACAGGGAGCTGCAAAGGCTCTCTGCTGGTTCTGGAGATGAGGAAGCTGGGCTCCTGGACTGTCCTTTTATGAGTCCCTGAAGACCACACCCATCTCTTTCAAGTGATTGCATTTGGGTGGTCTGACAGTGGGTGTGATTATAGGTGATGAAGTTTCTTCCGAACAGGGAAGTGTTGATTTAACACCTTTGACTAATCCCTATTAACAAACCTTCACAAACATTATCTCATCAATGCCCACTAATCTGATAGCAAATGAACTGAGGCACACTTTATGTCAAATTTTTGAGGGATCAAAGACTTTTACTTTCACTTTATTTATTTATTTATTTATTTGAGACAGAGTCTTGCTCTGTCACCCTGGGTAGAGTGCAGTGGCATCATCATGGCTCACTGCAACCTCAAACCTCCTCCTGGGTTCAAGGGATCCTCCTGCCTCAGCCTCCAGAATAGCTGGGACTACAGGCACATGCCCCCATGCCTGGGTAGATTTTGTATTTCAAGTAGAGAGGGCTGCTCACTCTTGGCTCAGCGCCTGCAGCTTCAACGATCCTGACCTCAAGCAATAGTCGCACCTCTAAGCTTCCAGAGGTGCTAACATCCAGCGCCTGACGCACCCAAAACACTTTTACCTTTTGATTTAAAATAGAGCGATTCTGCGCCGGGCCTCGTGGCTCATGCCCTGTAAATCCTAGCTCTCCTAAAGGGAGGGCCCGCACGGCGCGGTAGCACTCCGTGGCAGCTCAGCCCAAGTTCACGACCCCGACCCTGACAACGAGCGAGACCCGCTCGTCTCTACTAACGAAACAAGACCAAAAAACAAAAGCTTAACTTGGCCAACTCGAAAATGCGAAAAAAAAAATTAAAGCGAATAAAATCAAGGATTTTGTCAGTTTCATTATTTGCAGCAATGTTTTTGAAAACATGGAAATATATTGCCCAATGTTTAATTAGTATTTCTGTTCATGTCAGGCGGTGGATTTATCGTTTGTTTATCTGTATACTTTGTACATTTTAATATAAGAATTTCAACCTAAGCAACACTGTTGTCCCACACTCAAGAATGGGGGGCCTCATCGGCAGCAACACGCCACAGGATTCTCTCCCATCACTCCCCCTGATCGCTGCCCAACCAGCTCCCCTGAGCTACAGCAGACGAAAAGCGCCAGGAAGAAGCAGCTAGGGGATCCCTGGATTCGAGTAGCATAAACATGCTGAAGTCATGTAAATTGAATTATTTCAACTTGAAATAGATATGATGTCAACCGCGTTACAGCTCAATGCATTTATCTCATTGCCTGGGAGCCATGTGGGCACGCCTTGAGAAAATCTCTTTCCAGTACCCTGGCCCCAGATAGCCTTCATGCGAGTCATGGAAAACCAACGCTGTGAATTCTGGAGCAAAGCATCTCAACCCTGTGGAGACAGGAGTCCTTGGAGAACCACCTTGGCTGTGCAGAGAGCTCTGGGCCCAGCAGCAGCTTCAGTCTGAACTGGGTGAGAGGCAGACCAAGGCCTTGAGGAGCATCAGGAACTTCCAGAGAGCAGGGAAGAAGGAGACCTACATTCCAGGATTGCCCCAGATAGCTCTAAGAAGCTCAGCACCCACAAGGCCAGCATCCCTTTGCCTGACTCCTCTGGGACCAGGGAGTTTCTCATCCAGGCTAGGAAAGGAGTAGATGCCATTTGGTTCTACAGGAGAGAGCAGAGACTCAGCAAGAGGTTGTCCTTGTGAGAAGGTGACCCAGTCAAGCTGAAGCCTCCATTCACAGGGCCTGGTGTGGGTAAAGTGGAATATATGTTAATACTTCTAGGAGCCACAAGCTCCCCCAATTCTCCTGATTCCATCAGCAGTGAACAGAACCAGTTACAAGGAAGAGGAGTGGGCCCAGGGAATTCTGGAAGAAGGGAAGTGAGAAATTAGTGGTTACAGGAGGAGACTTTTTCTGTTAGGTCACTGGACAGAACAGTCTGTCCTCTTAACTTCAGAAATAAGCAATGGAGGGTCAAAGTGTTGCCTGTGCCCTAGCCCGAAGGCTTCAAAACACATCTGTTTGGTCTCCAAATATATCAGTAATATTTAATTTCCAAATATGATCTTCCACACTGTATCCAGTCAACACAGGCTTGCACTTACCTTTCGAAGCGCGCTGTGTCTGTTTGATTCAGGCCCGGTGATGGTTTCAATGGCATGAGTCCGGATGGACAGGCTGGCACAAGTGCAGCTGCACGACGTCACTCCTGGAAGAAGAGACTTCAGTTACAGATTCTTGGGAGCCAAACACTCTTATTACTTCTTAGCATGAGACACTAGCGAGTCGCACTTGAAGCTTGGGGCCCGTGGCCGGGGT